AAATACCCTCCTACTACCTTCATTCAATTGCCAATCGGTCTTCTGCATGAGAAATGGTTGACAGACCTGAGCTCAATAAATAAAAGGTCTATTCAAATTTATATCTGGCTGATCTGGTTGCTATGCTGAGTGACCCATAACAGTGGGGAGTATGAAAACAGGAGGATCACTATTAGTATTTGGTATAGTGAAACCCTGTACCAAATACAAAAAAAAGAAAGAAAACATTAGAAAATGATTTTTCTGTTTTTCTCCTTACAATGTGGCCAGACTTCTGCCTTTCAAAAGGATCTTATGGCTTTCTAAAACATGCCTTCATAAGTATCAGGCAGTGTTTTTAGGGGTACCAGATGTCTAACCAATGTTATGTGCTTCCTTAAACCCTGCTAGTTTTCTTTCAGAAGAAAGCAAAATCTTAGATCATGAGTGTAAAGAGTTTATTTTACATAAATGCACAGCTAGAAGATAATCCCATAGCTTACCGTGACCTGATTGTTTTCTGTGATGGAAGCTCATATGTAGAAATTGGGGTGTGGAAGAAAAGATATTGTATGGTAACTCTACAGGCCACTCTTGAAAGTTCCTGTCTGATCCCTGGAGGTAGCGCCCAGCTGGCAGAGTGCATAGTCTATACTAGAGTATAAGAATTTAGTAAAGAACAAAGAGTATTATTTACACTGAGTCAAGATATGCTTTCTTGGTGTTATATGCTCATCTTTCTATCTAGAAAAAAAAGAGAATTCCTATCAGCAAATGGATCTCCTCTTAAATATCACAAGGAAATAGATCATCTTTGTCCTCTGATTGTTTTCTATCTGAGGTGGCAATAATATGCAGCTGGGGATTAAAGCACCAGCAAGCAGGTGCAAGGGTCAGGGGTTCTATCCTGGGCCTGCCATGCAGGCTCCACCCACAGGGTGCACTGAGATGACAATTGAGACTGGGCGTGGTAGTGCACATCTGTAATCCCAGAACTTGGGAAGCCGTAAACAGGAGAATCACCACAAGTCCAATCTAGTAGTGAGACCATAAACAGCCTGTAGACCATCCATAAAATACAGAGAAAAACAAATAATATACAGCTGAGTGTATGAAAAGAGAATAAATAAGGTCACACAGGAAAACTGGTTGGCTGACCTAGCATCCAATACAGCATTTCTTTTTTTTCCTTCTTTTTTTTCCCATGGAACTGGGGATTGAACTCAGGCCCTTGTGCTTGCCAGGCAAGCACTTATTTTACTGAGCCATCTCTCCTACCACCCAATGCAGCATTTCAAGGACCATTTCATCTAGAGGTCACCTAGGCTCTCTTATTTTGGAAAAAAAAAAACCCAAGGTGTTGCCAAACATAATTATATGAAGGATGAGTCAGAATGGGTTCTATTGCAGAGGTATCAGCTCTTTGCCTCCAAGTTATTTCAAATAGAGAGTGAAAAGCTACTCATTACTGCAACTTACCAATGGAAAACTATTAAAAATTATTCACCATTTTTTTTCACTTAGGAAAAGCCGTAGACTTCAAATGCACCATTGGGAAGTGAGGTAGTTGGTCACTACTGCTGCAAACAATGGAGGGCTTAAAACTTCTCTTCAAGAAGTTTTAAACACTGTCAGACCCTCAGAAGATAAGTGATAATAGATAAAGTATGTTAACTCTCGCTGTTCTACCTATTCCTGCTCTTAGGAATTTTCATTTTATTCCCTTTTATGTAATTCAGCATGGTTACTCCAAAAAAGAATTGCTAAAGATTTCTCAATTATGTGAAACATTTCCATGTGTCTTACACTCTCATCCCTTCTCCTTCCCACCCATTCCACCCAATCTGGTACCTATCAACATCCTGTAGTGACAACCATTTATTTTGTCAAACAGCAAGTAAATTACAACCATAATTGATAAATGTACCCACAAGGAAGTGTGGACCCCACAATCCTATTAGTAGCTTTGACTTTCTCTTTTGAACAGATCACTACTGTCAATATGTCCTGGCAACAATTTTTATCCTTCATCAGTCCAATAGGAAACCCTTAGGAGGTAAAGCAAAAATTGGGGTGAGACACACAGTAGGGTTATGCAGAAATGCTTCCCTTTGCCTTCAATCATATAAAGGAGCCTCTTGGGTAGGATGTTTATCACTTAAATTCTGCAACATTGCCTTATGTTATCAAGACAAGACTTGGCTGAACCAGAAAAAATGCAGAACCTTTTATGGATGAGCTGCCTTAGGGGCACTGGGGACTGGACCCTGATGTATCACATCCCTGATATTTAAAATTCTAATGGAGGTTCTGAGACTTAACTTCTTTACCCCTATTGCCAGGGATTAACTAATTATATCGATAACTGCCATATACTTAAGAGATCTCTTAATTTTTTATCTCCTTATATGGTTAGGTACCAAAATAGTCATTATTCAGAGTATTCACAACCAGTCAAGAAATTTGGGGCCAGGGAGATGACTCAGTGGAATAAGAGCTTTCCTGGCAAGTGCAAGTGCCTGAATTCAATCCCCAGTTCTGCCAAAAAAAAAGAAAAAAGAAAGAAAGAAAGAAATTTGAAACCAGATTCTATGCCTCTTACCCAGGAAACAACCTTTCAAAACTCTTCTCAATTGTGTCTTGTTCTTACCAGCCCTAACCACCTTGTTTGACAACATTTTACTTTTTTATGTATTTGGAACAGAGTCTACAGGGTCTACAGAGTCTCACTAAATAGATCCAACTCGTAGTGACTCTCCTGCTTTCAGCCTTCCAAGGGATGGTATTACAGGAGTGTGTCACCATGCCCAGTCTCAATCCATATTCTCAGCTCACCCTGGGGGCAGGCCCTGGGGCTGCACCGCATGCCAGGTATCAAAACCTGGCCACTGTGCTCTGCCTAAGCAGGCGCTTTGGTCCACTAAGCTATCTGGCCAGCCTTGAAAACTTGACTTTTAATGGACTTTTCCTATAGAAATACTCCCATAGGAATCAACTGGAGTTACCAAACAGATATTTACCCAATATTGTTCTAATACAGGTGATCCTGGGGAATTGATAGTAAATGAAACATCCCTTTGGAGCCCTCAGAGCCACTTCCCTTGAGTAAATGGGACTGTATGTATTATGCAGGACAGATTTATATTCATTACTCCCTATAAATGAAAAGGAAACTGTATTGTGGCAGCAGATATTTAGAAAACGAAGATAATAAATCCAGAGAGAATGAATGGCCTCTTCAGGCCTGATCCTCAACTTAGCATTTCTCTTAGAGAAATCTACAAAACAGAATTAAAACAAAGAAAAACATCTAATATGTCCTCTTACATAAAGAAATAAAGGACTGGAGCAATACAATTGGGGTGGACATGCACATGATAACTCTATACTACTGAGATCAGATGTAGGACACACAATTGCTAAGAAATTCTTTTGATTTGCAGCCCTATCAGAAAGATCAGCCCTAAACCTTACTACTTATGGTTCAACATAGTTGGAAAGGCTCAGTGGCACTTACAGAATCTCAGGAAGAGTCTTTAAATTCCTTAGCTGAAATAGTCCTTCAAAACTGGGTACCCTGATCTTTTTGTGGCCAAAAGAGTAGAGACTTCTGCAATAATAAATGAAGCTATTCTTTGGATAAAAAACTCACATCAGGAGAAAGAAGGCCTCCAAGCCATGAAAGGAAATGTCAGACTTATATGTAGCCTCTGTGAGCAGGCAGGGCTAAGACCTAGTTTGTAACAATCCCTACTTCAATACTTTAAGTATAGCATCTGGACCTTGCTCCTTCTGTAACTGTACACTTTTGTCTTTTCATTTTGCTTCTTATATTTGAGCCATGCATTCTTACTCTCTAAGTAAAAACTTCTTAACTAGAATCTGTCAAACTTTAAATGATCATGATCATGATAATCTGAAACCAACAATGAGTTTGCTGGACTCCTTTTACTGAGGACTGCTAGAAAGACCCTCTGAAGACAGTTTATAGCTGCTGAACTCCAATTTAACCTTTATTGAGGTGTTCTTAGATTATTTCTCTGAAGAAAATCGCTGATGTCATCTCCCCTACATTTATCTTTCTCAGCTTTACGTAGCCAGATTTGGTCTTTGTCCCTTCTCTCCTAATGGCAATTAGTGACATTTCTTCATGTGAATATAATATCCTAGTTTAGTTATTATCGTTAGAGAAACCTAACAAGAGAGACAGCCTGATAAAAGAGCTAAATGAAGCAGCAGGTTAATCAAACATCAGGTTAAGTAAGCAGATGGCTATACTTAGAAGTATAAAAGAAGGGCTGGTGAAATGGCTCAGTGGGCTAAAGCACCTACTTAGAACAAGCTTAGCAAAGCACAGGGACCATGGTTCAATCCCCCAGCACCACATGCCAGCCAGCCCCGCCCCCTGGTGGGCGGACACACACACACACACACACACACACACACACACACACACACACAAATAAATAAAAAAATTAAAAAAAAAGAAATATAAAAGAAAACTTGTGAACAAAGGATAAAAAGTTAGGATAAGAATAGAGAGATAAAGATACTTCAGGAAGAATACTGTCATCCAGGGAGTGGTAAGGTAGCTAACAAGTTTAGCAGCTTTTTCCTGTCTTGAGATCCTGGATTTCAAACTGAACCTGGAGAAACAAATGCAAGATAACCAGTTTTCCTTTGAACTCAAATCCCTTGCTCTGCTTTTCTTATAAATGTAAAATCAGGATAGTGACTCCCATTTGGAATACTCTGTGATAAATATCTAGTATAAATTTTCTGTTATTATTTTCAGAAAAACTTTCCTAACTTCCTCCTTGGTTTTTTGCTTTATTCTTCATAATTTGTATTTCTAGCAAATTGTTAGACCTGAGTGTTCTTGGAGATTTTGTAATTGCAATTCTCAGATTTTTTTTTCAGAACTGGGAATTGAACTTAGGCCCTTGCACTTGCCAGGCAAGCACTTATTTTACTGAGCTATTTCTCTGGCCCCAAAAACATTGTTAATAAAACATAAGGCGATCCTTTGGTTCATAAGTGTGATGATTGGGTATTCATGCCTTATGCATGAGATGTGCCTCCCTCAAACTTTGTTATGATGTGGACACATTACCAGTATGACATGAAAAAATAAATAATAAATAAATAAATTTTTAAAAAGTAAGGTGGCCATTTTTGGATGATTCCTCATAATTTCTCAATTGTTTTAATCGTCGCATGATAGTGTATTTTCCATATCATATATAGTATTTTCCATATCTGCTGAGGTATAAACTTTAACCTGTGAATTTGTATCTAATTTTGCTGTCCTTCTGGGCTTATGGGTACTTAAATTTTTCTACTATCTTCTAGTTGCATGAGGCCAGTATTATGGTTTTGATTTAGATGGTAGAGAATTTGGAAGGTGATTGAATTATGGGACACTGTAACTGACTTGCTGGTAGAAGGTTGGCCTTTTCAAGTGAGCTGGTCACTAAAGGCATGATCTGTTATAGTGTATCTCCCTCTCTATCTCTTCCATTTGCTGTTTTCTGGCTGCCTGGCTTTCCCAGGCTCTTCAACCACACATTTTCTGTTTGAGTCTGCTGAACATGAACTGAAACATGATTCAACATAAACTTCACCTCCTTTAATTTGTCTGTTGCAGTTGTTGAGTCTCAGCAATAAGGAAAATATGACTATGTATGATTATTTCTACCCCTTTTAGACTATGACTAAATATGCGGCTTGAAAATTTATTACTGAGATGAGAAACAATGTTTTTTCTCTTGCTATGGTGATCATGAAAATAGAGGGGTGATGAGGTGGAAGACACTCACAAGTGTCCCAGGGACCCATCTATAATCACAGCAGGGTTCTGCATGAACAAGAAATAAATTCTTGTATGTTAAGCCCCTGATTTTTTGTCCCTGATGTTTTGGAAATATCATTACTATAACTTGCAAACTTATACTGGTAGATTTTCCTCAAACACTTCACTCTCAGAGTACCTTCAGTCTCTCACTCATCACTGTTTGAGCGCATGCTTATACTTCCTTCCTACTCTCTAAATGATTTGTGAGACTGACTTATTTCAGTCATCTTAATATCCTTAATGCAGTCTACTACAAAATCTGGCCCAGAATGGGTACAAAGGATATGTAGCATGTGTCTAATTTAGCTGACAGTTGTTTTGTGGAAAGGCACAGTTGTTGTTCAAATGAACTATTCTTGGCCTAGGTACGTACCTTAAAAGATACATTGGTAGAAGTTTCCAATTGGTGGAGCTGAGTAGAAGTGACAGAAGCTTCTGAAGACTACAAAAAAATTCTTCACCCATGTGCCATCCCTCTCTTCCTTCTTCTCCCAGCTAGATGAGAAAAAGTGTCTATGTGATACTCATAGCTCACTGGAGAAGGCAGGCATAGCCATGAAAGCAATAAAAATAGAAGTAGAACAGCATGCTTTTAAGGACATAAATCTTATCTTCAAACATTATTCTCTGTGGAGAGCCTAATAAGACCTCGTTGTGGTATGGAGTTTATATTTGTAACCTCAGGGGAAAATTATTGTAATTCTAGTGAGTAAATTCCAACCTATTACTTTCTAGTTGAAAACAAAGAGCATAAAGAGACAAACATATATCTGCAGTTGTGGGGAGCAAAAGGGTTCCTAAGGCCAGTCAGAAGAGTGGTTAACTGGAACAAAAGGTCAGGAGCCAGGACTGAACCTGGCATTTATTAATTTGTGAAGAGGAAAGAGCCTTCATGTTAAATTATTTTGAGAATGTCAGAAAGTACCTGAGTACTGTGTTATGGGTTAGACAGGTGGCACAATAACACCTCTGCAAAATGCAGAAGAGTTATGTAGAAAGAGTAATGGATTATGGTATCAGGTAGTCTCTAAATTTGGAGCAATCTGCATGACAGTTTGAGAAAATATCTTGTGTTTTGATTGGTTGCCTCAGTTTTGATATCTGGCCTTCCTGCCCTGCTCAACTCTTTCTCAAGTTTCAGTCCCAGCTGACAGCATGGCATCTCTCAGCCTACCTCACATTTAGTAATAGGGATCTATGGGTGGGCCGTCACTGTCCTTTCCCATTGTTTCAAAGGCTATACATCTGCACCTTACTTAGACACATTGAAATTGGTTAAAGCCAATTGAGGGGGTAGAATATTTTCTTAGCCTGCTCTGTACATGTCAATACACAGAAGAAGGGTAAGAGCCAAAATGGAGACAAATGGTCTTCTTTTAGGGATAGCTGTCCCAGTGGTCCTCTGCATTTCTCCAACTGTGTTGCAAAAACAACTGGTCTAATACACGTATGGACAGGCTGAACTATTGTCTTGAAGATGGTAGGACTTGGGAGTATACTGGTAAGTCTCATTTTATAATCTTGAGGTTTGCAGGCAAAGTCTTAGACAAACAAGATCTATCTCATAAGCTCCATATTCTAGTCAGAACAGAAGCTTTTGGGAGCCAGGGGTGAACAGATAAATAGGAATAAAGAAATCCCTAACAGTCCAAAAACCAAATGGACTATGCAGCATATTGGTGGCTTTAGTGACTAAAACATTGAAGAAAAACAAATTTCTCATGAAAGACTTTCATCCTTCTTCCACTTATTCTTTATAATAGAGTCAAAAAGATCTGTGATGGCAGTTTCCTGTTAGAAGTATAGTTTACATAATCTTTAGTTATTGTTGTATTTTTAGGGAAGGGTCTACAGGATATTCAGGGTCTCACTACTAGATCAGACTCATAGTGATGTACTTGTGTACAGCCTCTCAAGAGCTGGGATTACAGGTGTGCCCCACCACACCCAGTCTCAATTGCCATCTCAGTGTGCACTGGGGTTGGGGCTGGCATGACAGGCCTGTGGATTGAACACCCAGCCTCTGCACCTGCCTGCAGGAGCTTTAATCCACTGAGCTATTTGGCTGATCCTAGTTTATAAAATCTAAGAAATATTACAGTACCAAGAAGTACACAGGGAATGACACTCATTCACCTTATTTTCTGCTTTGCTTGTACTTGTCTTAGCAATACTCAGAGCAGAAGCACTAAATTAGTTTCATTAGGAGGGCAATATAGGTGAAAAACACTCAGAAGCTTGGTAACCCTGCTTAGTTCTTTTTAGCCACTATCCTTCTCTTACATTAAATGTAATTAATACATTCATTGCCAAATAGTTGTCATAAGGACTAAATAGGGTCCTGTATGGTACTCATTTGAAATATGATAAATTGGATTAGGTAAGCCATAAGTGTCCTCCAACAAAACAGGAGGAAATTTTCTTGTGAAGGGAGTGGCCAAGGTTGATTTGTTTTAGGTGGAGGGAACACTGTAATCTGCAAAATATTTTTCTCCAGTCTAGATATGGCCAGATGGATACAAAACAAGGACATCTCTTTCCACCACTAAGCCACAGAAGACTCTGAGGAAAGCACACTGAGAAGACATTGTCTATAACACAATGACCATGCTATGGCCTAAGGACCTGTGACCATTCCCTGATTGGCATTGCCATTTTAAAACTCTTAAAATTAAATTTTAAACTCATTTACATATATAGTTGAGGGAGAAAGAGCAGTTAATCAAAGAAAATTATTATCAATGTTATTCAATAATTTTATTGATAAACAGCAATGAGAGAGTTTCAAAACCGAATAGTAGGACAGTTTCAATCATAAATACAATACATATTAGTCTCTTCTTAGTGGTTATTCATAGAACATGGTGCAGACATGATACCCTGTCAAAAAAAAACACTATTAGAACAAATTTATCTATTCAATGGATTAAGAGAAAGTAGGTGTGTATCTATCCTAAGTATTCTGAATATGCAGATACAAAATGGTCTTTTCTTTGTATCTTCTTTTGTTTAGTTTTGTCAGAGAAGTGTATTCCATTGTAATTTAAATATTGTAGGTGTGTGCATTCAGCAAATTATTCCAATGCGGTCCAGTAGTCCATAATAGTAGTGGGTTATCTGTAGGAATGGCAATATCAGAAATTGTTGACTTGAGCCTTTTACAACTCAGCATATTATCATGGCTTTACATTTTCCACTTCATTTTTATGCTTTTCTGCTGGAAGATTAAGACCAAGATAAAGCAAGACCTACATAGCAAGAAATCTAACTTTTTTATCTGACAAGTCAGTCAAATCCCCTCAGGATTAATCCTCAAACCCCGTACCGCACTTTGTAGAAGCCTTCTCAGTGTCCACCATGTGGATGAGTCACAGCCATTGCTTGACCAATTTGCTCTCTGTGAAAACCTGAGGGAATGTTTTCTCTCATTGTGACTCTCTTTAGGCACACACTACATCATTGATCACATTCCTCTGTGTCCCCATAATCCCTTGATCAGAAAATAGGGGACACAACTGAGTTAATGATGTAACAGCACAGGTTCTTCTATGTCCTGAGTCCCAACTGAACTTGAAAGGCTAGTGCCAAAATGTTGGCAGTCCTTGCAGCCCTTCTTTTTCTCTGATTTTTGGTCTGAAACTTAGGTTGTTAATCCTCCAGAAGAGAAGCTTATTATTTCCCTACAGCATGTGCAGGTGGGTTTAACCTCACTATCTGTCTGAGTATCAAACATCTTAAGCATAAGATGGAACATGTATTTTCCATCAAGTATTGATGTGTTAAACTTTAAGTCTTTACCGAATATGGAAAAAGAATTAAAAAACACTAAAAACATGAATAAACAGTTACATACTTTTACACAGAAATTTAGAAATCTAACCATATACATCATTATAGCAAGACAGTCCTGTGATATTTATTTTTCTTATTATATATATTTTTCAATTATTACCACTTTTTTAAAGAAAAAACAAAAAAGCAGAAACATTTACTTGAGATATAGTCTGGGCATAATTGATATGTCATGACAAGCAGTATGTATTTGGAAGACCAGAATGACAGGCTTTCCAAGCATAAACCCATTATAAAACATTGCTTTCTTCAGTGCGGTGGCTCAGTTCACATGTATCAAGATATATACTTAGTCAGAGTGAGAATCCCACCAAGTAACTGCTAGGTTTAACAGCCTACTGATAATTCTCAGGATCATTGTCTTACCTAGCTTGTGCATATAAATGTATGGCTTATCCCCTGCCATGTTTCCTAGCT